AGCTTGATCATGGCATCTATACAAAAAGAGAAATTTACTTCTTCATTTCCAATTTGAGTGGCTTTTATTTTTTTCTTGTCATTTGACTTCTTTTTAAAAATTTAAATGCACTGGATATTATATCCAGAACAATGATGAATAGAGGTGATGAATGAGTTTAGACAGCATTACTTTGTTCCCAATCTCGGTAGCAAAAGCTTTTGATCTTTTACCTTTAAACATGATTTTAGCTGTAGTTGTTCCACTGATGACCCTTTTGGATTGTATAACTGTTCTGCAGAGATTTTTTTGCTATGAATTTATTGAATGCTTTATTTTAAAATAATTGTATGATCTAGGGTTTTCTTTTTGGGAAAGCTTTAATTAAAAACTTATTTTGTCTAATAAATATAGACTGCCAGGTTTTTAGCTTTGTGTCTGTTTTCATAATTGGAATGTTTCGAGAAATTCATTTATTTTATCTAAATTGTGAAAATACAAATGTTCATAGTATTCCCTTATTGTCCCTTGGTACCTATAGAATCTATAGTGATACCTACTCTGTAATTCTTGATATTAGCAATTCATATTTTCTTTCTCTTCTTGATTAGTCTACATAGTAATTTGTCAATTTATTGCTCTTTCTAATAAACTAGCTTTTGGTTTTAGTAATTTTCATCTCTGTTTACTCATATTCTATTTTATCGAATTTATTAGTTATTATTAAATTATTCTTCTACTTTGGGTTTAATTAGGACATTTTTTCTAAGATTTTTTAAGGCAAAAGTTTAGATAATTGAGTTTTGATCTCATTTGCTAATATAGTATTTAAAGCTACACATTTCCATCTAGCAATTGTTTTAACTATATCCTACAAATTTGATGTGTTTATATAATCATCTGATTCAAAATAGTTTTCAATTGCCCGTTTTATGTTCTTTTTATCAGACAAGGTAGCTAGAAGTGATTATTTTATAAATAATGAAGAATTTTGGGGATAATTTGTTGTTATTGGATCCTAATTTGCTTCTTTTTTGTCAAAGAATATATTATCTCTAATCTCAATTATTTTAAATATATTAAGAATTTTATTACCCAGAATATGCTCTATCTTGGTGTAAGCACCATGTTCACATGGAAGAGAAATGTTTTTTTTCTGCTATTATTTATTACATTGCTGAAGGTACTGTTTAGGCGGTGTTCTATAAATGCCAGATTAGTTAAATCATGAAGTTTTGTCTATCTTTGCAGTGATATAACATTGTCTTGGTTATAGTAGCTTTTCAAATGTCTTGAAGTCAACAGATGTAATTCTTCAACTTTGATCTTTTTAAAAATTGTTTTACCTATTCTAGGTGCTTTACATTTCCATCTAAATTTTGAAAAAGCTTGCCTCTTAACAAAAAATAAAAATCTTTCCTCAATTTGATTGGGGTTGCATTGAATCTATGAATCAATTAGCAGAAAAATGATATCTTGACAATCAATATTGCATCTTTCAATCATGAACATGATATAGCACTCCCTGGATTTAGGTCTGTCTTAACTTCTCAGCAATATTTTTTGGTTTTCAGTGTTCAGTCCTTGCATATAATTTATAAAATTTTTCCCTCTGTGCTTTTTAGTATATTAGTATACTAATTAGTATATTAGTATATCTTTAGTATATTTTAATGCTATTTATGCAAATAACACTTAAATATTCATTGTCATTATATAGAACCGTAATTGATTTCTTAGGTGTCTAATTTATTCTCTTGTCCTTATTATTTCTTTTCTTCTTAGTCCAAGGTAAATGTGCTAAATTTTTGGTTTCTTAACATGAGAACTTACAGCATTTAAACCTTTTCTTCTTTTCAAGTATCAGCATTTAATGGTATAATTTTTCTCTAAGCAGTACCTTTGCTCAATGATTCTCAATTGGTGTAATTTTGCCTTTTAAGGGACGTTTGGTAATGTCTAGAGAGATTTTGGATGTCACAACAGGAGAAGAGAGTGCTACTGGCATCTAGTGGATAAGGATGAGGGATGCTACAAAACATCCTACAATGCATAGAATAGCTTGAGCAATCTTGAGTTGGTTGCCTTCCGTATATTTTAATATGTTTTGTGTTTTCAGTCAATTTAATATATTTCTTTTGTGATATATATTTTTAAGTCCATGAGTTATTTAAAAGTTTCTTATTTGCTTTTCCTATGTTGGGTTGTTTTCTAGATGTCTTTCTATTGCTGATTTCCATTTTAAATCTGTTGCCCTTAGAGAATAAATGTTTTATGATTTGAATCATTTGAAATTTATTCAGATATTTTTATGGTAAATATCTATCTTGATCAGTGATCCATTTGTACTTAAAAGACATATTTTGCTGTTGTTTTGTGGAGTAGTCTATAAATGTCAATTAAGTATATTTATGGTGCTTTTTCAAGTCTTTATACTTATTACTTTTCTATATAAATTTTTAATTGATAACTGAGAGAAGTTTTTATGTTAATCGTAGTTGTAGATTTGTCTATTTCTCTTTTATGTTCTATCAGTTTTAACTTCAGGTAATTTTAATTCTATTATCAAATGCATACATATTTTTTATTATGTCCTTCTGATGAATTAATTCTTTACCAAGCTAAAATATCTCTCTGTATTCCTGATAATATTGTTTGTTCTAAAGTCTATTTTGTATAATACTAATATATCCATTCCAGCTTTCTTTTGATTGGGGTTCATGGTAGAGACTTATTCCACCCTTTTCATTTTAACCTATTTGCATATTTATGTTTAAAGTCAATGTGTTATAGATGGCCAATAGTTGTCTTACTTTTTAATCCAGTCTGGCAATCTCTGCCTTTCAGTTAAAATGTTTAGACCATTTATATTTAATACAGTTATCAATATGGTTGGGTTTAAGTCGAAGCGCTTGCTATTTTTCCCCTTTAATTAATGTTTTTATTTATCTTTTTCTCTTTTATTGGCATTTTTTTTTTTTGAGACAGAGTCTCACTCTGTTGGCCAGGCTAGAGTGCAGTGGTTCAATCACGGCTCACTGCAACCTCTGGCTCTCAGGTTCAAGCAATTCTTCTGCCTCAGCCTCCCGAATAGCTGAGACTATAGGCGTGCACCACCACACCAAGCTAATTTTTGTATTTTTAGTAGAGATGGGGTATTGCCATGTTGCCCAGGCTAATCTTGAACTCCTGACCTCAGCTGATCCACCCACCTTGGCCTTCCAAAGTGCTGGGATTATAGTTCCTGGCCTCCTGGCTAATCTTAAATTGAGTACATTTTTATGACTCTCTTCTATCTTGACTATTGGCTTATTACCTATATTTCTTTGTTTTACATTTAGTGATTACTCTAAGGTATACAATATATATCTTTAAGTTATCAAAGTCTCCTTGACATTATATTATAGTACTTCATGTTTAGTGTATAAACTTTATAACAATATACTTCTATTTTCTCTTTCCTATGCTTTGTTCTATTATCATTATACATTTTACTTCTACATATTTTATGAACCCCATTTAATGTTGTTATGATTTTTAATTTAAATTGTCCGTTATCGTTTTACAAAATTAAAAATAGTAACATATCCACATATTTAAATTTACTTGTACATTACATTTTTGAAGATATTTATTCTTTTATGAAGATTCAAGTTTTTATCTGAAATTATTTTTCTTTTATCTGATGAGATTCCTTTCTATATCTTGTAATACAGGTTTGCTACTAATGAATTATTTCACCTTTTGACTAAAAGTGTTTTTACTGTATCTCATTTTTTGAAAGATATTTTATCTGACTATTAAATTCTAGATTAACAGGCTTTCCCCCTTTACACTTTTTTGTTTTTTTAATACTTTCTTTTTTACCTTTGTCTTCTGGCTTACATAGATTCTGACTAAAAATCTAATGTGATTGTTACCTCTGTTCTTCTGTAAGTAATGTTCCTGTTTTCCACTGGCTTCTTTAAAAAACTTTTCACTACCAGTGTTTATTGCAAATTATTTTAATGTACCATGGTGTGATTTCCTTTAATTGTTTTCTATTATTTATTTATATTATACTTTAAGTTCTGAGATACATGTGCAGAATGTGCAGGTTTGTTACATAGGTATATATGTGCCTTGGTGGTTTGCTGCATCCATCAATCCATCATCTACATTACTTGGTGAATCTATGATTTTACACTTTTCTTTAAATTTGGAAAATGTTAACCATAATTTCTTCAGATAACCTTTGGCTGACCCTTATCTTTCCCATATCTCCTTCTCTTCTGGGAATCTAATGACATTTATGTTAGATTGCTTGATATCGTTCTACTAATCACTAGGGCTCCTTTTTTTTCCAGCTCCTTATTTTTCATATGTGCTTAATTTTGTAAGGTATTTATGCTATACCTTCAAGTTCACTATCTGTTCTCTATTGTCTAATTTGTTATTATTTTGTTGAGTATATATTTTTATGTTGTATTTTTTTTTATCCAGCATTTCCATTAGATTTTTGTATACTCTATTTCTCTCCTCATTATGTTCTACTTTTACATCATTCTTAAGCACAAGAAACTTAATAAGTTGCCTGCTGATTTAATTCTTTTCCTTATTCTTGTATCTGTTTCTATTGATTGGTATTTCTCCTGTTTATGGATCATGGTTTTGCACTTCTTTGCAGGCCTGATATTATTTGGATAATGAGTATGGTTGATTTTATATACCTGTTGGAATTCTTTTTTTTTTTTTTTCTTTTTCTTTTTGAGACAGAGTCTCACTCTGTCACCAGGTGCAAGTCTGGAGTGCAGTGGTACAATCTTGGCTGACTGCAACCTCCACCTCCCGGGTTCAAGCAATTCTCCTGCCTCAGCCTCCCAAGTAGCTGGGACTGCAGATGTGTGCCACCACGCCCAGCTAATTATTATATTTTAGTAGAGATGGAGTTTTACTATGTTGGCTAGGATGATCTCGATCTCTTGATCTCATGATCTGCCCACCTCAAACTCCCGAAGTGCTGATATTACAGGTATGAGTCACTGCACGCAGCCTGGAATTCTTTTTATAAATGTTCAATATTGTTCTGACTGCATTTAATTTAGTAGAAATTAGTTCAATATTTGGGGTGCTTGCTTTTATGTTTGGATCAGTCCCAAGAAATAAATAGTACTAGTTTAGCCCCATTACCAAAGGAACATACTCAAATCTCCATGAATTTTGAAGACCACATTGACTAACGGGAACACAAAGTTTCTCAGCATTGTGTGAACTCTGATGATTGTTTGCTTTCCAGTGATTCTTTCTCCACTCTTGCAGAGTTGCACTCTACACATATGCTCATCAAAATCAGTCCAAGACTTAAAGAAACCACTATGCAGATCTCATGACCTCTTTCTCTGTGAAGCTGCCTTCTCTCAGGTATTATAGCCATGTGCTACCAGTTGTCCAGTGTCCAGTTGTTTTATATATTTTATCCAGTCTTTTTATTGTTTAAGACAGTAATGTAAATCCAACTCTTGTCCTTCCATCATTAGGAGAAGCAGAAGTCTCTGATATATACTTTTCCTAAGCATTTTAGCCTCTTTAAACTCTTGATCCTTTTCTCCTTAAGTCAAAGAAAGATTTGTATTCTGCTTGGGTTTACTCTCTTTGCACCATAGTCTGGAAAATGTCTTCAGATTTTAAAAAAGGTAAGATAGTAGGGCTTATTTGTTTACCTTCTCTCAGAGATCATAATGCTGTCCTATCTTTTGCTAAACGTCTGAAAAAGAGGTGTTTCGTATTGTTTTCTTAGGTCTGGTAACATTATAATTTTAGTACTATTATTTTTTATTATGGCTTAATAAATGTCTGATATCTTCTTAGGTGATACATTATTGTTTTTGACTAGCTGATGTTTTATTTAGGATTTTCACATCAAATGTTTTTCTATGAAATGGAACTTTACTTGAATTACTCTACTTTGCTTTGATGCTTTTTATTGAAAACTCTAGAAAATATTTTTATTGAGTTAAAACATACTTTTAAACTACACATCAGTTACTCTGATATTATTATCATTCATTCCTTGCCTGAATGATTCCTTGAAAATATCTCATGTACCCTATAAATATATACATCTATTATGTACTCAAATAATATTGAAAATATAAAGCTTAACATAAAAAACATAGTAAAAAATAATAAAATATATAGATTGGCAGAATGGATTTAAAAAACAAGACTAAACTGTATTCTGCCTACAAGAAAATCACCTCACCTCTAAGGACACACATACACTGAAAGTGAAGAGATGGAAAAATGTATTCTACATATATGAAGATCAAAGGAAAGAAGGGGTAGCTATATTTATATCAGAAAAACTGAACTTCAAGTCAAAAGCTGTACAAAGAGAAAATGAAGAGAACTGTATAATAATAAAGGAATCAAGTCAGCAATGAAATATCACAATTTTAAATATATAAGTACCCAACATCAGAGCACCAAAATGAGCCTAGTAAGTATTATATCTAAACTAAAGGCCCTAATAAAATAATGGTTGGGGACTTCAACATCCCACACTCACCACTGGTCAGATCATTTAGTCAGAAAATCAGCAAAGAAATGCCGATTTTAAACTGCTGCATAGACCAAATGGACCTAAGAGACATTACAGAACATTTTATCCAACAACTACCAAACTTACCTTCTTTTCATTAGCACTTAAGCCATCTAACCTGAACAGGGCAGATAACAATAACAAGGTTAAATTGGTAATAAAAATCTCCCAATAAAAAGAAGTCCAGAGGTGGGTGGTAACACTGCTGAATTTTATCAAATCTTCAAATAAAAATTAGTATCAATTCTTCTCAAGCCATTGGAAAAAATTAAAGCAGAGGTAATTCTTCTTAACTCGTTCTATGAGGCCAATGACCCTGATATCAAAATCAGACAAGGACACAACAAGAAAATAAAACTATAGGCCAATATCCCTGATGAACATAGATGCAAAATTCCTCAACAAAATAGAAGCAAACAAAATCCAACAACACATCCAAAAGATAATACACTATGATCAACTTGGATTTACTTCAGGAATTCCAGTATGTATCATTCAATACACAGAATCCAACAAACATCACACATCATATTAATAGAATGAAGGACAAAAACATATGACTGTTCCAATAGATGCAGAAAAAGCATTTGGTAAAATTCAACATCCCCTTGTGGTTAAAAACAAAAACAAAAACAAAAAACTCTCAACAAATTAGGTATGGAAAGAAAGTACATCAACCTAATAAAGCCCATGTCTAACAAACCCATAGCTAACATATTATTAAATGAATAAAGTTTTAAAGCTTTTCTTCTAAGAACTGAAACTAGCCAGAAATATCCACTCTCACCACTCTTATTCAACATGGTATTTGAAGTTCTAGCCAGATAATTTAAGCAAGATAAAGAAATAAAGAGCATTCAAGTCAAATTGTCCCTGATTGCAGATGATGAAAGACCTAAATATTCTACCAAAAACTTTTGAACTGAAAAACAAATTTAGTAAATTTGCTGGATATAAAAATCAATATATAATAACCAGTAGCATTTCTGTACATGCACAACAAACTAGCTATAAAAGAAAGCACAAAGGAAATCCTATTTACAGTAGCTACAAAGAAATGAATACCTAAGAATAAATTTAAATAAGGAGGAGAAAGATCTTCGCAAGAAAAACCACAAAACACTGATGAAAGAAATTGAAAAAGATACAAATAAATAGAGAGACATCCTATGCTCATGAATCAGAAAATTAGAATTGTTAAAATGATCATATTATCCAAAGCAACCTACAGATTCCATTCAGTCCCTATCAAAACATCAATGACATTCTTCATAGAAATAGCAAAAAATCTTAAAAATTTTATGGAACCACAAAATACCCCAAATAGCTAAAGGAATCTTGAGCATAAAGAACAAAGCTGGAGGTATTACAGTACCAGACTTCAAAATATGCTACAAAAATGTAGTAATCAAAACAGCATGGTAATATTATAAAAACATATAGGCCAATGGAATAGAGTATAAAATCCAGAAATTAATCCACATATTTATAGCCAACTAATTTTTGACAAAAGCACCAAGAATACTCATCAGGGGAAAAAACAGTCTCTTTAATAAATGATGCTGAAAAAACTGATTATCTATTTGTGGAAGAATGAAACTAAATCTCCTCCTCTCAACCAAGGCAAAAATCTACTCAAAATGGATCAAAGACCTAAATGCAGGGCCTCAAACTATAAAACTACTCTAAGAAAACATAGAGTATATTTCAGAACATGTGTGTGGGGAAAAAAATTGTGAATAAGACCTCAAATGCACAGGCAACAAAAGCAAAAATAAACAAATGGAATTACATCAAACTAAAAGACTTCTGTACATTAAAGGAAACAGCAAATGAAAAGTCAACCTATGGGATGGAAGAAAATACTTGCAAACTTTTAATCTGACAGAGGATTAATATCCAGAATATTTAAAGAACGCAAACATCTTGACAACAAAAAAAGTCCGAGTATAAAATATGCAAATGATCTGAACAGATGTTTTTCAAAAGAAGGCATACAAATGACCAAGAAATCTATTAAAAAAAGATCAACATTTTCTAATCAGGAAAATGCAACTCAAGACCACCATAAGGTACTATCATATCCCACTTAAAATAGATATAAAAAAATGTTGGCAAGGATGCAGAGGAAAGAGAATTTGTATACATTGTTGGTGGGAATATAAACTAATACAGCTGCTATGGAGAACAGTATGGAGGTTCCTCAAAAAACTACAAATAGAATCACATTTTCTAGCAACCCTACTACTGGGCATTTATCTAAAGGAAAAGAAATCAGTATATCAAAGAAACATCTGCACCTTCATGTTTATTGCAGCACTATTCACAGTAGCCAAGATATGAAAATAACCTAAGTGTTGAACCACAGGTAAGTGGATAAAGTAAACGTGGTAAACGTGTACAGTGGAATACTATTCAGCTGTAAAACAGAATGAAATCTTGTCAATCATGGCAACGTGGATGAAACTAGAGGAAATTATCTTAAATAAAATAGGCCAGGAACAGAAAGTTAAACACTGCACATTCTCACTCATATGTGGAAGCTCTAAAAGTCAATCTCATAGAAGTAAAAAGTGGAAAAAGAGACTAGTAGCTGGGAAGAGTAGCAAGAAGGAGGGATAGGAAAAGATTTGTAAAGGGGTACAAAATTACCGCTAAATAGGAGGGATAAGTTCTAGTGTTCTAAAACGCTGTCAGATGACCATAATTAACAATAATATATAGTTTCACATAGCTAGAAAGATAGTGAACGTTCTAAAGACAAAGAAATGATAAATATTTAATATAGTATTATGCCAATTCTGATCTGATCACTATATATAATATGTATCAAAACATCACTATGCACTCCATAAATATGTATAACTTTTATTTCAATTAAAAAATATTTTTCAGATTCTAGAAATTAAAACACATGAGAGAATGTAAGAAACTTGGAACAATTAACTCTACTTAGAACAATTAATTTTCTCCTTTTGTGATGTTAACAAGCATGCTAATTTTATACATCTCAAAATCCTACAGGTTATTATTTTTATTGTTTTATGTAATCAATATTCACTTGGATTACCAACATATTCCCTCTTCAAATCACCTTTATTTTTCTTGCAGCATCCTCAGAATCATTTGAACCTAGGAGGCAGAGGTTGTAGCCAAGATCATGGTCACTACACTCCAGCCTGGCGACAAGAGAGACTCCATCTCTGAAAAAAATCATTCTATTCCTGTACTTACCTTCACCAGTCTAAATTTTATCTGGCTTCAATTTTCAAATTCTTAATGAAGTATTCTTTGATCCTTCATTCAAAGATAATCTCACATTCCTCTGAACCTCAGAGTACTTGTTTGTGCTAAAAATATTAATCCATTCTACATTTCAAGGAAGAATACATGTGGTTGGTTGACTAAAACTACAATTAAGTCACAAACTCCTCGATAACAAAAATTTCTTTCTTTTTTTTTTAAACAAATCTTTAAATCCCTATAGCAACATACTATAGGGATTAGGGGAACAAATAATATCAGTTGAATTGAATAGGATTCTTATTAAGTATGAAATGAATAAACTAATGATATTTTACTGCATGTGACAGATTTTCTACCTTACAGGCTATGAGCAACAGGCTCAATAGAGAGCATTACATAAGTTCCAAGCTTATGAACATCATTTATAATAATTGACTGCACCTAAGATTTGAAGAATTCATTGAAGCTTGGGTATTTATCATAAGCGTATTTAGTATAAATTGCAATTGCTTCATAATATGCAAAGAGCTTCATATCAAGGTTCCCCAGGTCCCTTGTTAATAAAATTAAATACAGGTTTAGATTTTTTTAAAAAAACAGTGTACTATCCTAAATTTAATTCTACTGCTTAACAGAGACTACTTCATCTGATTCTTTGAGGCAGTACAAAGAGGGGAGACAGGCAATTTAGGGGCATCATTTCCTCAAATTTACAGCCATTCACCCTGAAAACACAATTAGGTGGACTAAGCTACAGAAAAACAGTTCTTTCTTATTAAAATTTAGATGATAAAATGCATCCTACAGAAGTCCTGAGTCTTGTCTCTATTTTGAGCCTCTAGGACAGATTCTGAATAAGAGATAAGAGACAGAACTTCAGAATGATCTATCTCACCAGCTAAATTAAAATAAGAAGGAACAGTTTTTCTTTAGTTCAGTGCAGCTAATTTTTTTTTTTAAGGGTGAATGGCTGAAAAAATAGGACAACGGTTTATAAGCTTTTTAGATTTGAGGCCCCTTCTCTTTGAGAAAATGACTAAGCACACACAAGGAGTACACAAACCAAGTTTTGCCTATTTGTCTTCAGAAGAAGTCCAAGTCTACCCTATTGGGCTTGCTTACCTTTGAAGAGGACAGACAGTGTGGATCAGTCATTGCCAGGACACAGTGTGGATCAGTCATTG